TCACTGCAACCTCCACCCCCTAGGTTCAGCCAATTCTCCTGCCTCAGCCTCCCCAGTAGGTGGGATTATAGGTGCCTGCCACCTTGCCTGGCTAATTTTTGTAGAGATGGGGTTTCGCCATGTTGGCCAGGCTGGTCTCAAACTCCTGACCTCAGGTGATCCACCTGCCTCGGCCTCCCAAAGTGCTGAGATTATAGGCGTGAGCCGCCACCCCTGGCTGGGGGTATATCTTTGAAGGTACTCTGGGGATCCCTGGAGCTGTGTATTTCCTAGCCCTGACGTCTATGGATAATGGGGTATGCTTTTCCAACGTGAAAGTCAGAACTTTTCCAGGCTGATCCTTTTTGAACAACTCATTTCCTTTCATTTTCCTCTGGGTCCCAGCTACTATGCCAATCCACCTCCGTCTTTTTCCCCAACATCCGCCCTCGGAAGTGGATCTGCAGTCACTCCCCTTCTCTTAGTTGCTTTTACCTTCAATTCATCCCAGACAAGTGGACCCCTCCTCCCCATCCTTAACTGCAAAAGCAAAAGCCCAAACAAACTCAAGAGCCTTCTGTGTCTTTGCTCTATTCTCACCAACTCAAACCATTAAAACCAAGATTTTCTGCCCACTGGGGAGTTAAGGCAAGAGGATGCCTCAGTCAAGGAATGGAGCACTGCAGGGCATCACTGGACCAGGAAATGGAACAGCTAATGGGGAGCTTAACAGCTAATTCCAGCCAAGGAATTGGAAACCTCTGCCTTGTCACTCACTCACAGCTAAGGCTGCCATAGCAACCCACCAAGCAGGAATAACACCCAGCTACTGTGGAAACACCCAGAGGAAACGCAGATGCTGTCAACAGGTGAAAAAAGCATGAACAAGTAGAAACTCCCAACTGAGTGTCTTTTTTTGCTTTTTTGAGACGGCTCTTGCTCTGTTGCCCAGGTTGCAGTGCAGTGATGCCATCATGGCTCACTTCAGCCTTCACCTACCGGGCTCCTCCCACCTCAGTGCCCCCCAGGTAGCTGGGATGACAGGTACGCACCACCATGCCCAGCCAAAATGAAAGTCTCTCCTGCAGAGAGATCAGAAACCACAACTCCCAGGCAAAAATACCCATATGAGCTGCTGGCTTTGGCACTGTTTGCTGGTTAGCATTACAAATCCACCATTCCCTATGGCCACCCAGAGGTAAATGCAATTACAGAATGGCCCCTGATGAGATATGCACATCCGTGGGAACCACACCAGCTATTTCCTGGATAGAATATTCATATAGATGGTCAAAAACTTGTCCTGGGCTGGGTGTGGTGGCTCCCACCTACAATCCCCAGCACTCTGGAAGGCCCAGGTAGGAAGATCTCTTGAACCCAGGAGTTCAAGACCAGCCTGGGCAACACGGTAAGACCTCATCTCTATAACAAACAAAAAATTAGCAGGGCATGGTTGCATGTGCCTGTAGTCCCAGCTGCTTGCGAGGCAGAGGTGGGAGCATCACCTGAGCTCAGGAGGTTAAGACTGCAGTAAGCTACGATTGCACCACTGCATTCTAGCTTGGGAGACAGAGCAAGAACTGGTCTCAAAACAACCCCCCTCCAAGAAAAACAAAAAACAAAACCTTTTCCTACATTGTTTCACACCGGGACCAAGATGAGAGTGAGGCAAGTGAGACACTGGCATTTGAGTGCCAAAAAACTCCGCAATCAAGAGAAAACTATTTGAGTGCAGTATGTTAAAAAACATCAATGCAGGGCCGGGCACGGTGGCTCAGGCCTGTAATCCCAGCACTTTGGGAGGCCGAGGCGGGTGGATCACAAGGTCAAGAGATCGAGACCATCCTGGTCAACATGGTGAAACCCCGTCTCTACTAAAACTACAAAAAATTA